ATGTAAATGTATCGCGTTGCGATTTGTGCGGAATCGGGGGAGGAAAGGGGTGGGGAGGGGAGGACAGAAAGAGGGCAGAGAAAAGCAGATGCAAACTGCATTCGTTCCGGAGATCTCCTCTCGTCCCTCGTTGCGGAATTGCAATCTCTTGCGCGCCGCTATCGCGAACGCCGTGTGCCGGTACCGCCCGAAAGTACAGTTAACCGGGTAGCACAGACAGTAATTATAGTAACGCATAGATTGCACGTACGTGACCACCGTTTATCGTCACTCGATTCAAACATCGTTCGCGTCGAGTCCTGACGGATAATCAAAGTGGAGTTGATTGAAATATTTAATTGGCAATTATCATATTTAATTCGTGGACTTTCGTTCGGGCGAGAGAATGCGATTCCGGCGAATTATATCAACGAATGAATCACGCTGGGCACAAAATAGTGAAGAATCGGCAAGTATATCGCGTAGCGGATTCTCTCTTTTCGAGAGTCTCGAAACTCCAATCCATTTTAGTTGGACAAACTTCGAAGAGCTCGGTAAACTTCCGCAATGCGTGCATAGATTATGCAATATCATCGCCGCTCGAAGCGGGGGCTTTATTAAAGTATAATTACGCCCGGTGCGTCTCCAAATTTGGAGCTAATTCGATTCACGCTCGCGTTCTCGGGCTCGTTCGCGTTCTCAATCTCGTTCGCGTCCTCGATCCCGCGCACATAGCGCGCGACTTACCAAATCGTATTTCCGGGAAGAAGATTATAAGCATATCTGCCGTAGTTCTATCTATGGCACAGAGTGAAAGCGCGCTACCGATCGTACGACCCGATAAAAAATGTATCAATCCCCTTTAAAAGCGAGACACGTGCTCAAGCGGCCGCGAGCGCAACGCGCGTAGTATCACTTGAAACTTAAAATGCTAAAGAGGAGTTTAATGGGCGGCTTTAAGATCCATTCTCGGAAAGCGTAAATTCAACTTTGCTTTTGCGTTTCAAGCAGGAAGGCGGCGTAAACGAGTTTTCCAATAAGCGCGGGCGGCGACGCGTCGGAAGATACGATTGTCTTCGTCTCTTTTAGCGCACATAAATTTCCCGCCCTAACAATACGTTCTTCCCCTCGTGAAAACGTCGAGTCGCGCGACATAAATGATTATAAGATAAATTAATTGGCATTTCTTACATTGCAACGTGAGTAGACGAAAATCTTGTTTCTCATTTATGTCTTTATATACTTTTTAATTGCGCTCTAATATACCGTGCTCTATTTGCGTCCCGCGTATTTTTCATTTTTAATTTCCGTTATGTAATCTCGCGCAGTCACGATGCACCGTGCAACTTTAAATTGAACGTCACTGCGGTTACATTTCGTACATCGGAATCGCGTTGAAGAAGAACGTAACGCCGCAGATGATTGAAGAGCTATTAGAGTCAATTATGCACGGTGGCTTCACTACTATCTCGTTCGGGTATTGTCGCTACGTTAGAATGGCGAACCGTGCGAAAGACGATGTTTCGGTCGCGTCGGCAAGTATTATGAACGCTCCTGAATGGATAAACGCGTTGGTAGCACAGTCACGTTTTCGTCCCTGCAAAGATGTTCGAAAGTTCCTGCGAGAGGCGCTTAGACATTCAGTTTCGTTCGCACATCACGTTGAAAAAAATTTTTCAGCCGGTATATCATAAGTTATCTCGCGCTGGCGAGCGTAGGTCGGACAATTTTACGAAAATTGCGTGAAACTGTAAATGTATCACAGATACAACAACATTGAGATCAAAGAGATAGTGGTCGATAGTAAAAACTCGAATTAAGTGACGGAGTCTTTGAGATAATTAAACAAGGAGAGAGGACATGGAGAGAGACTCTCCGTAAGTGAAGCTATTCTCGTTGTTGAGTTGCTAACGTGTTATTATTACGGTATTATATTTTTACGAGTCGTACCGAGATGTGATGTTTTTGTTTTATCGCATACCAGAGCGCTTTTCAAAGCGCTGAAGTTGACGTGCGTGCCCGTTCATTAAAGAGACTACGTCGGGGCGCCTTCGGTGCGAGGAGTCCGGCGAGTCTCGAAGGATCACACAATGTACGTTCCTCACTGCAATGCGACAAATGAGCATGACTGCGATAAATCGCTTCTTATAACGGACTTTTATATCTCGCGTTTTCGTACCGTTATCGAACCGTCCCTTGATATTTAACTGCTGCCGTTTCTGCGCGTCTACGATCGCCGAGACCTGATCGCATAAACAACCGCGCGCCATTAGGGCCGGGGCATTAAACTTGCATCAGGACTCGCCTCCGCGTCCTCTCCGAGATCGATATCGCCGTACGGAGGAATCATGCAGGATCTGTCGATGTTGCACGCTATTTTAGCGAGCCCGGTGTATCGCGAAATTTTTCGTCAGTTGGCTAACGCCAACGTGAAAATTGATTATCGCACGCCGCGAGTCGGTTTTGCACATCGTTCAACTGCCCCGACTTCTATCGGCACATTTACGACGTGCCACTCTCTAAAAATCAATTAGTGAATTATCACTGGAAACAGTGAATAGCCACTGATTTGCAGTTATAAGTATACTACTGAAAATTTCAGTGGTATACTTATAACTGTAAATCAGTGGCTATTCACTGTTTCCAGTGATAATTCACTAATTGATTTTTAGAGAGCACCTGAACGGTGTTTATCGGGAAGCGAAATCTAGAATTCGGGACACGCGACGCTCATCCGATGGACGGAGATCGGGGGGCGCGTGAGGCGCGAACGTGGACGCCATAATTTTTAAATTTAATATTGTAATACGAGAGAGAAACGGGCCAAGTTTGCGAAGCGACACTTCTCTTCACCGCGCGAGCTCCCGTCGACGTCCGGCTTTAGGGTGGCGCGAATTTCGCTCGTGAAAAGCGGAATTCGCGAATCCGCTTACCGAAGTTTCGCCCGCGCGACAGCAACACCTTCCAGATACATTATTCTAGCTGTCGTACGGAGTCAAGTCGGGAGGAAATTCTTCGGATACGAGAATGGCAACCCCCCCAGCTCACCCCTTCCGCCGATTCTCTACTTTTCCCGCATGCCGACAGTCACCATCTTGTCACCCGGCACGTAACCCAAAGAATATCGACTTTCTACTATGTTTCGCTGCCAAAGAAAGAAATTTTTTAAAGAATGTATACAGAAATAAACTTTAACTTTCGTTATCCTGTTTCTGTATAAAACTGACATGAGTCTTGCTCTTATTCTTTTTAGATTAGACTTCTTGCATCCATTTTGCCGAAAATGTTATAGAATTATCGTTTACAAAAAATATGTGTAAATGTAAGAGCGCGTTTAGTTCGGGTCCGTGAGCTCGCTAGGGTCAAATGACTGCGCGGATTAGTCGTCCCCCTGCGGGGAAAGAAATATTTCTTCCAGAGCCGATAAATTCGTGAGTTTAACCAGCATCGGGCGAACGAGTCAGACATAAAAAGATAGAAAAAGGGTCAGATGTGAAGTCATGAATATATATCCTACCTCATAAATTTGTTGAATCATCGGCGTTGCGAGAAATTTTCGAAAGAAATTTATTGGCTAAGATCTTCATTAAAAATATTCATCGACGCACGATTGTCTAGGCTAGATCTTTATAATTATCCCCATGTAATAAAATAATATCTTGATAAGATACGGAGTCATGGATGATATACGATAATCCACTGATTGACTTTCAGAGAGTATAGTAAAATTTCAAAACGGTCATAAAATTCCTCGAAATGCCGTGTTGCCTCACGATTACATGATTTTCAGGATAAATTTTAAAAAAGTCTCTCCGTGTGTATGGATAAGTTTAAAAAATGAATTGGTATACATTTTACTCTTCGTAATAGGCGCTTACATTTCCCATTGTTGCTGCATTTAGTCATACTTCATGTTCCCCTCGTTGTACAGCTTGCAAAGGGTGCCACGTTGATTGATAAATTACCAGCCTTACGCAAACAAAATGGCTTAAAGGCAAAAACCTGTTTTTGTGTGGTAATCTATCCGGAGCATTACCCGGTTTTCTACTTGTCATTAATTGCGTCCGTTCTGTTACGATGGCATCCTCCGCAATCGAGCAAGGTCGCTCAGCTCGGCCATTTAAGGACATCATTTTGGCCAATTCGTAACTTATCTACTAACAGAATCGCATTCAGGCATATAAATATCCGCTGTAAGACGCAATAATAATTCAGTTTGGCGGAATCTGCGGGGGATAATCGCGGGATAATCCCCGGCTGCGTTCTAATCATGAGAACGGAACCAAAACGACGGCTAATTGCCCCTATCTATCACTTGCCCCCTAACTCCATTACCATTATACTGAGGCCAACTTTCAAGGCGTTACAATATCGGCGGCTGTTACAATGCCGGGCACGCCCGTTCGTCGATTGATCTTCGCCGTCATCCCCGACGTGCGAGTCTGCCGATCCCGTGCGCGCGTGTGTAACAAAGCGCACGTAGGTCCCGGCCCTCATTATCTCTGCCCTTCTCGGCGGCGACCTCCGCCGAAGGAGCGAAAGCCCCGGGCTCTTACGATCGCTTCGGGGATTCTCCGATCTGACGGTCGTTACGTCATTTCCGCTACGTCTGGCCGGTTCCTACCGGCGAATCCGACCGTCGCGTAATGCCTTCCCTCCTGGGCCTCCTCGCGGCAGCCTCCCCCCTCGGCTCGCGCGACACCCAGAGACAGACTCCGGTCACGTACAATATACCCAGAAGCGTTCGTTCTATACGTGGTGATCGTCCCTGACGGTGTATAGACCGGCGCGACGGCGGCAGCGGCGGTAGGCCCGGCTGCGCGGACGACCAATCGCGCCGCACGACTAGTGGGGGTGCCGGTAGGTGCGTCGCGACGGGGGGGTGAGAGGGTTCTCCACCGCCACCGCCGCCGTCGTCGCCGCCGCCGCCGCCGCCGCCGCCGCCGCCGCCGCCGCCGCCGCCGCTGCCGACGCAGGGGGCCGCAGCGCCGCGAGTTCTCCCGTCAGAGAGCCGGCAGCCCGCAACGCGAGTGTTGCTGCCGAGCTTCGATAACCGAGAGGCCGCACAGTGAGAATCGTCGCCGTCGCCCTCGTTCTCGCCGCCGTCGACAGCAGGGAACAGCCCGTAGAGGAGAGGAGAATTTCGCGTCCGCATTATCGGTTCCGACGTGCATTCGACGGAGTGGCTTTCCGCATCGGACAACGAAACGCCGTTCGCCGTCGGAGGCCGTCCGTCGATCTCCACGTCGGTTCTCGCGTAGTTCGATCTTCCCCGTGGTCTCTCCTCTCTCTCTCTCGCTCACTCTCTCTCGTTCGGTCTCTCGCTCGTCCGTTCGCTCGCAACCCCGTCGTCCTCGGGACGCCCGGCGTCGTAGCACCGCTCCGTGCCCGCTCCGATTCACAGAGACACGTATAACGTTAAACGTACGTCACTGTGCCTCGCACGAGTTCTGTCATTCCTCACCGCTGTCTTCTGCCCGTTCTACCTGCGATTGTCTTTTTCCCACTTTCCTATTCTGCCCGCCGTCCTGGTACTCCCTCCTTACCCGTCATCTCTCTCTCTCTTTCTCTCTCTCTCTCTCTCTCTCTACGTTGCCTCCCCCCCGCTCGCTTTAATCTCATCCGTTCTCAATCGCTCCGATCTCTGCGTCCGTACAGTACTTTTCGCGGTGCGCGAAGGGAACGAGAGAGGTGTGCCCCCTGCTCCATCAGCCGTTGGTTCTCGAGGAAGCGGACGAAGGAACAAACGGCCCGGAGAGACGGACGGTCTCCGGCGTGCGCGCGACTCTCTCTCCTTTCCTCCGAAGGATACCCCGTCAGTCAAGGACGACGTCGTTGCTCGCCCGTTAACGCGACGGCAGCAGGCCTCCAGGATAGCCCCGGAATCTGGAACCCGGTCGTCGGAGGCCAGCCCCGGGCTCGTGGTACCCAGGAATATTGCCGGGGAGGGAGTGTAACGAGTAACCAGGTGAGTGCGCTACTACTATTGGAAACTTGGTCGAGGGCTCGAGGGACTCTCGAACCGATCGAAATCCGTTACGTGTCGGCGACCCACCGTTTAACCGGGTCACGGCGGCGCCGACGGACGGACGGACGGACGGACGGACGGACGGACGGACGGCTGCGGCTGTATTCAACATTCTGACGAAATTCGCGCTGACGATTTTCTCGCCTGCCATATGACGTACGGATTTTATCGGTCGGCACACAGCCTGCCGCCGCCTCCGCCGCCTCCGCCGCCGCCGCTGCCGCCGTTAGTCGCCTCGCGAGAGGGGGCGATCTGTTACTAAAGGGTTGCACTGCAGTGCACGGTACGTGGAGGGGTGGTCTCGTCCCGAAAATTTCGCCGGGATGCCGTCGACTCTTGTTCGCCGGCCAGCCTTGTCAGCTACGCTACCGAAAGGCCGTAACTCGATCGTCTCTCGAACGTTCCGTTAGAGGCGAGCAAACGGAGAGACGGGGGACTTGTCGAGAGTGCCAGTCACCGGTGTCCAACCGGCGGATACCGGACGTCATCCCCTTGTGACCGGACGTCGTACGTCCCGTGCGGATCGATCGCGCGAACTCTTGGCTGTTCCCCTCGGCGACTCCAGTCGAATTTGGATCAATGATCTAAGGACTACGATGCGGGGCACCCGGCATCGTGCCCGTCCTGCGCATTGCGCCCGGCAGGACGTGGTAGCGCCGCGCGGAGAGCTCGTGTAAAATCCTGCGCAATGCCGGCTTCGCCGACGTGCGTGCGTGCGGCGCCGGCCACGGCGCCGACTCGCCGAGAGGGTAGCAATCTCCTCGGGATCGCTCCCCGACGATCCTCCGCAGCGATCCGCCGCGGTCGCAGAGCGCTGGAAATTCCGCCAGTTTCGCGGGGTGGACGCGCGAGAGGCTTCTCCGACCTCCCTCGTCCCCGGGACGCCGATTTCTCTTTCGACGGAGAAAGCCCGGCCTCACGTAGGGTTTCGACCGGGGGGTCTCATCGACGTTCGGCTTATCGTTAGCCGCGGAAAGGTGCGCAGGGCCGCTGGTGTGCTGCCTTCGCCTTGAGATCTTCGACCGATTTGCCGCGACCGGCTAGTAACACCCCCCCCCTCCCCCTCCCCGCCATTTCCACTCCAATTCTCGTACGTACAGGTACTCCGAACGACATAACGTAATTCTTATGATAATTGTTGGCGAGGTCGGGACACTCGACCATTCAAATGAATTTCTAAACAATAATCGGAGAACCGATTTTGATATAAATTAATGAGAGACAAGATAGCCAATATGATCCGAGCAGAATGTAGCCCAATCTGTATATACAGTGAAATTCTGTCTGTCAGCTGTATGTCCCTTGTACAATTCTGTATCAATGGTCCGATTCGAACCAAGTTTGGCAGTTATTCAGTAGGATTCTGCGAAAAATACGGGCTATCTTTTGATCCGGATAGCCAACTTTCCCTCCCGAAATCATTAGAGTTAGAATCTAAAAGAAAATAGAAAAAAATCAAGAAATTTTTATATCTAAACCCATGGAACGGTCTTGACCAAGCGTGGCAACTTATTTTATAGAATTCTGCGAAAAGAATAATGTAAAAAAAAGGTGACTCGAGGGAAAGGAGGCCCGAGCGAAGCCGGGTAAGGCCACTAGTGGTTTGTACAATGTGCGAATTTTATGCCGTTTTCCAAACGCCTTCCTGCGCGCCGATTACTTTCGATCTTAAGACACAGTTTTCTTTGGTGGAACCTTGTCGTCAGTAAATTCTCCTTTTTCTTAAAATTGATAAATGATGATAAATGATGCTTACTAGCATTTTATACAACCTTCCCCTTCCCGTCACATTTGCAGGAGAGGTTGGGAAAACGGTTTAAAAATTCACGCATTGAATAAACCATTGGGTTTTTATACACTGAAAACAAAATTTTCGCTACCATAGCCAATCATGATTTGCTAAAAATATTTTGCTGCCGTAACTATAAACTTCTGAAGCGCAGCAAACGGTTTGCTGTCGCACCTAATGCAATAGGCACAGTAGCAAAATATCAGCTCTCGCAACTAAATATTAGCTGTCCATATTTTACAACTGAAATTTGGTTACCGCATGCAGTTTTTCGCTACGGCACGTACATTTTTGTTCCGCGTACCGTTAGCTACATCCTGCGAGCCGTATTTGCTCTCTTATTGAATTTCTCGTCGAGAAGTAAACTTGGAGGGCTATTCTTCTCGAGAATTGTTTAAAAGTTTCTGCTAATTGTAAGCGCCACGTGAATTTCTCGGGATTGACCTGAGTGGAGTCGGTGTCTCCTTTCCAAAATTTGTAGTCGCGCGCGTCGGCAAAACGAATTAGATCGCTCGTTAATGAATCCCCTATTGTCTCGTCGCGACACTTGCCGAGAGAAGTTCGCCGAGAGTTTTCAACGATTGATCGTCCGCCGTAAAGTCCCCTCCCCCGGCGTGTACGCTCGTCGACCGTAAAGCGATTATTAAAGGGTAATATCGAGACCGTGCCGTCCGTACGGAGAAGGGAATTGCGGCCGCGTTTCGACTTAAGGAAGAGAAGCGAGGCAGGAGGCAGAGCTTTGTGTACCCGGCCAACCCCTCTCGGCGCGTTACGCTTCTCCTCGACCCTTGCCACTTCTATTTCGGCCCCGAGTCCGTTTCATCTCTCATCTTTCGTACGCGGCGCAGATGGAGCATCCGCATGAACGTGCACGGAGCCGTTTGTCGGACAGAACGGTACGATGGCGCGACAGAAGTAGATTTAACGAATAATCAGAGGGCGACGGTGGCGCTCACGTTCTTTGTCTTGGCTGACCGCGTTGGACGCGTTAATTGCAATTAGCGCCGTATGCGTGTAGCGTATTACCTGCACTAATAGAGAGTGGTGGTGGCCGTGATAACGTTAAGCCGGCGCTTTGCTTTAACGGGATATGAAATTTTACTCTCACGAAGATATAAGAGATATCTTGGCGGAGATATTAAAGTTACTTTTTATTTGTTTCCTACGCGCCGGAGCCCGCCGCGCGATAACGTAATTTTCCTTAAGCTAAGTATCACGATCTTGGCTAGTTAAGATTTAAAAGCCGAGTACATCGTGTCAGTGATTCAAGGCTTGATGGCCCGGCCCCGTCGTGAAAAGAAGATTAAGTGGCGGCGCAAACGCCGATTCGTTTTAAATGAGAACGTAGCAGGCAGTTTAATGGCAGAATAACTTCTCGCTTATTAATCAGCGATCAGTAGACAACCGATAAGCGGACTATTATTGCCCTGTCGCGTGTCCGAAGGCACTGTCAAAATTATCACGCCTGGACTGGACATTTATCTAATTTTCAGAAGTGAATTTTTATCAAATCAATCATTCGCCCATTACTGACAAACAATCGTTGACGTCTGAAAGATACGATCGATCAGCAAATATTACGCGGAAGATTAAGAAGGATTGTTTCTCGAAAGCCTATACACGGTAACGTGATGTTGCAGCAATGAGTACCACGGACCCTACCGGGGAGGGCGGAGGAGGGGGAGGAGGAGGAGGGGAGAGTGCCACGACGACAAATGTCGAGCAGATTGCATCCCCGAGCACGCCGATCACCACCGTGCCGGTGCAGCCGGCCGTTCAACAGCAACAGCAACCGCAGCAACATCCGCCGCCGTCGCCCCTGAGCGGCTGCTACCTTCTCGTGGTGCTTCCTGAGCCTCATACCGCACAACACAAGGACCTCATCTTGAACCGCCTCGCGAAAGGTGAGATATCGGCTTGTTTCACGCGATCGTAAGTCAAGCCTCGCGATCGTAAAACGCTTTTTGCCGGGATCATTAGCGACGAAAAAAGATACGAGACACACCGGGGAGACGTACCGACTGATCTCTTTCGCAATTAAACGCTCATTCTGGCCCGGAATGGCCGTCTAAGCACAAAAACCAGAAATTGCGTAAAATCGTGATACGACCTTGCAAAAGAGATCGGTCGTGTACAATGGAAAGACCCTCTTCTATGTCTCTCTGTCTGGAAAAGACGGCGTGAGCCACGCGTGATCCTCCGGCGCGCATTAACGCATATATGTGCGTACGATTGTACGCCGATGCGCGTGTTACAATTACTGTGTCCGCGTGAGAATGTCGGAGTCCACGTATCGGACACAATTAAATCTATTACCGATACGATGGTATATGCCGAGCTTGGCCGAGAGTGCACTTTACGATTGCCGCTTTGCGATTACGATCTTCTTCCGTTTCGGCGGTCGTATCGCGACGCCGCGCTTCCGGGTTAAGATCGCGCACATCCGTCGCATCGCTCGTTTCCTGAACGCGCGCACGACTGTGCACTGCCTAACGGTGCTCGTCCTCTTTCGATTATATTCCTTCCGAGTTATCGGACAGACTTAAAGTCGACGGACGGATGGTTGCTAGGCGGACACACACGTTCTTATTCTCATTCTCTCTCTCTCTCCGTTTCTCTTGTGCGAGAAGGGAATCGACATCGCGCGCAACTCGTTTATTCCTAATCGCCTGCCGGTTACATACTCGATATCGGGCCGCTAATTCCTCCGCGTTCATATGTACATGAATACATACACGTTTTCCCTACCGGCGCGCACGAGGGCCGGCGGCGCCGGTAAAGCTTCTCTCAATCGCGCGAGAAAGGCTTATAAGTGGCACTATGATATTAATTGGCTTTTATGGCGAACATTTGTTCGCTCGCGGATCACCGTAATCATACGGCAGTAATGCACGTCGAATGATCGATACGCCGATTTACACCCGCCCGAGTCGACTGCTCTGCGTCGAGAGAAATCGTTAAAACCATAAAATCGCTTGCAATCGATGTAACTTCGAGAAAGAAAGCCTCTAAAAAAAAAACGCCCCTAAATTTAGATATTCCTACACATCCAAGGAAAAAATATGTTCCCTACAGTAACAATCCTTTCGAAAATGACAGGGGACTGTCATGTACCTGTTATATCGCAGCGCCGATATTGCCATTACCGTCACGAAATTGTCGTTACAATCGCTATACGCGAATGTGTGCTCGGAGTGCATAATTAGCGACGCCAACGTGGTCCACATATTTAATTAGAAGCGATAAAACGGAAGCATAAAAGGGCCAACAAAAAGAAATATATTCATATTTCCGCGCCCTCGCGTTAAAGATGAGTGCAGGACGTTACGGAATTTTAATGAGACGTCGATTGCAAATTGATCAAAGGACTGATGAAAGATTTACGTCGCTGTAGCGGTCCTTTATGTACGTATTCATTTATGAACGAGGCTCTTTAGCTCTCCAGAACATCCCGCGTGCATTTCCGTTCATGCGCATTTTTAATGTGCCGATATAAGACGCTCCGCAGTTGGGATAACGGAATTTTCTAATATATTGCTTTTCCCAAGCGAGGACAAAATTAATGTACCAACGCTGCGTTTTTTAAAGAGAGAGGAGGGGAAAGAGGGAGAGAGAGGGAAGCCGACGTGCCGGAGTCTGTATTCGTGTTTTCCGCATTGCGCCAGCGATGATTTTTAACGGAGCGCTCGTCGACTTCTCGTTTAACGTTTTATCTGCCGATTTTTCAATCCTCTTGCGCGCAAATTCTATAGTCCGCCTCATCGCGGTCGTTTGCATTTGCGACGATGATTTCGCGATATGCCGTCCGATAATAGCGCCGTTGTATGTGTACGTGCGCCCCGTCACTTTGACGTTAACAGCGAATCACATTCATGCAACGTACACGGAATTTAACCTACTGCGATTAAATATTACTCACTCCGGTTATGCATTAAAATGTTCCGTTCTAAACATTAAAGCGCGCGCTTATCGTTGCAATTATTACGTTTCTTGCGAACATGACGAACGCGGAAACTCTTGTGCGCGGTTTAACGTTACGTTACGCCCAGAAAATAAAGTTTATGTAAAATCAAATCAATTTGTTTGAATTGTGACCTCACTAGACTTTTATTTAACTCGAAAGAAACGATTTCTTTACCCTGACCAAAATTTTATTTGACCGAGACCGGAAATTCTAAGAGAATTCGTATCTTTTTTCATCAAATCTAACAAACGTTTTAGTAGAAGTGAATAAAAATTTAGTAGATTCAAAGAAACATGATTTCAACGCAAGCCATTTGTTCGACCTAAATCAATCTTTTCTCTGGGTGTAACTTCCGAAGTTCGCAATTTATAGATTCATGCAATCTGTTTCAAGTTATTGAATTATTATTCTTGTAATAATAATCATTAATGCCACGTGCTTCTTACACCCCGAAATATCCGCCTCTGTTCCTTTCTTTTCCTCGCGTCTTTTCGATTTCTTCACTTTCCGAAGTCGGCACGTAGACCATCGAGATTACTTGCGCGGTCGCGGGCGAGCATCAAGATTCGCTTTACGTTGGACCTACACGCGGGAAAATAGCCGCGCAAAAACGTTCGCCGCGCTTCGGCGCGGCTTCCTCTCCGTCGCGAAGTGCAGGAGCACTTCGTGGCTCGTTCCCTTCGCGCGCGGACCTCCGTGTGGACCTCCTCTCCCTCCTCGCGTAAATTTAGCGGTAGATTTCGAGCCTGCGAGACATTTGCCGCGCCATTTGCCGCATGTTGCGGGCGTTACCGCGTGCTCGCGGCTTCGCCGAGTCCTTAAATACACTCAAAAACGCGCGCGCGCTCTTACGAATCCTCCATCGGTTCAAGCTCGAGAGCCTTTCGTCGCGCGAGCATAATTTCTAATTTGTTTTCTTACCATCTACGTTTGTCCACACTGCGAGTTTTCTCAGCGGGATTCTAATTGCACGTTCAAGCTGCTCCGCGCGGGCACAAAGGCGAATACGAATTTACGCAAGATCGAATCTCTTCTCCTTACGGATTTAGACCGCTTTCGTGGCAAGCGATTCGAAGTAACATGCCGTAAAACGAGGCTCTCGCAATTACCGCTTTACGATGTCCTTACGGGTTGTTCATTTCTTCGGCAAAGGCCGAAGGTCCTAATCCCCCGTTTTCGACGAAGAAGAAATTTTGTACGCCCCAGCGAGCCTTTCAAAGGCAAATTGCGAACGCTTTTGCGAGCGCGCACAAAGTTCGCGGGTCGCGGAATATATCGCGGGGTACACGGCGCGACGTAGCGCGGTATTAGATCGCGGAGGTGCGGCGCGGCTTTTTGAAAGGGATATTTTCCGCCCGGGTATTATCCTTTGCGACGCGTATTCCATTCGGTCCCGGCCGCCATTCAGCGTGAATCGCCAGGTCCACGTGCCGTGCATGCGGAAATAATAATAGCAATTTATTTTCGACGGACGATTCGCCTGTCTGGGAGGACCTTTTCGTTCGCTCGACGATTCGTACTCGCGTTTATAAAAAAAATTTTATGAATGCACACAGGAAGAAGCAGCGTGTTCCATATGCAAATGCCACGCTCTGCCCTCCCCATCGTTCTCTTTTTCATTAAATCCCACTAAATAAATCTCTTCGATTGCGATGTCAAGGGATTAAGAAGTGTGATATATTTTCGCCGTATATCCGCCGCGTGTGCAACCCGTTGATATTTCTACTTTGTTGATAGCGTGCTGCCACACATCCGTTCTATTTATAGTTGATAAATGGCCATGTTTACGGGTCTGTCTATTGGAGAGGCATCGACAGATTCTGACAAGTTTATCCACAACAATTTTACCTCATTATCGTACATATTCAAAAGACGTCACATATTACGAATCTTTTAGAACAATAAACTCTCTTTAGAACGAAATAGTTTTCTCTTAAATAAATTAATTAATGAAGGAATGTGAATCGCCAGTAGTTAATTAACGACAGAAAGACTTGTTGGACGACATTAGAGGCTCGCAGATGGTTTATTTATTTAATTCCGACGTTTCGACCATGCGAGTTGTGGACCTTTTCAAGGATGTCCTGTAGGACATGTATACATATGTCCTACTGTGGTCGTTACGTCGGATGGACGTGCCTTCGAACATATTTCTCCAAGTGATGCCCTCAAATGCATGTCAAACCCCCTTGTTCTAATTTAATATCGCTGACGTAATAATTATTATTAATTTCCTCGAAAAGGACCACAATCCGCATGGTCGTAACGTCGGAATTAAATAAATAAACCATCTGCCAGCCCCTAATGTCGTCCAACACCTCTTTCTGTCGTTAAATAAAAAATTCTCTATTTAAATGTAACTGTACACTGAGAAAAATTTTCATCGGATAAACCAATTGAATGGCGTTTCCGATGGTTAATTTTTTCGATCACGTTTTCCGATTAAATTATGGATATGTTCGATGAAATTTGTCCGATGAAATGCAGTTAGCGATAAAACTTGATCGAAAAACCGATCATATTTTCCATCGGACCTGCAATTTAATCGGATATATCCGTTTGTTATTATGTAAGTGGATTATTCGATTATATTTAATCAGATATTTTTCTCAGTGATTACGGGGCATTTTTTAGACATTAGTGTGCAGGGCATAAGCATTGCTGGGATATTATATGATTTTGGTCACCGGTTCATCCATCGAGCCACAATAAAAGTTGATATATTTTCTATGATAGCTATATGCGCGTCATCTCTAGAGGTGTGACATTTTGATGTTATCTTTATACGTAAAATATCGCAAAATACCCCAGGAACGTTTTTAATGTCATTTCTTTACATTTTGGAGTCCCCCAACTTCGTTTTAACACGTTTTTAAAATGCAAAATGACCCTCAACACGCAAAATGGCGTCCAAATAACGTTAAAAATCGCAATTTTCCT